TGTGTGTGTTGTATAGACCTATCTTATTACTAATTCTCATTTCAATTTCAGTTCCACCTGAGGCCGGATTTCCTGCACGAGCCACTGAGCCATCTGTTACACTGCAATCGCGACATGGGTAAGGATGTTGTTTTCTATCAGACAATTCTAAAACTCCTCTTCAATTTAATTTTATTTTCTCTGCCCTAATTTTTTTGGAAACTCCACACTATGTATGAACATATACGTTTTCATTGTGGTAAAATTTATATTGTTGTCTTCTCGGTTAGAACATCGTGCAGAACTAGTAGACCGGTATAACGGTAACGCATTGGACTTCTGTTCGTCAAGTTCTTGGTTCGAATTAAGCCGGAATACTGTCCATTCTGACTTGGGGTTTCCGGGGTTTTCCTTAGATATCTAAGTGAAATTCTGATGTAGTAGGTCTACCATGATTAGAACAAATCATTTACAATTAATATTTTATTGGTTATCATTTCATTCGTCTATATCAGCCTCTGTCCTGACTAAGTTTTCGTGGTTTGTTCAGTCCTTCCCAGTGCTCTGTAATGAGTTACGTCTCTTAGCTTATAGTAGCGGTTAGTACGCTCATTTCTAGTTCCATGAAAATAATTAGAGGGCTGTCTGATTGCTGGAATGCTTCTAAACAGACTGTCCAGTGTCGTTTCTGTGTAACTATAGAGCGCTTGTATTCTTCGAACGAAATGGGAGACCAGTTGCACGTACAGTCGACGGTCCTCCTGAAAGCAGCTGCTAGTGGGCAAGCAGTCAGAAAATTTCTGTTTCCTGTCGCACCGTATTTCTAGCTATGACACTATAAATAAGCTGCGAAGTTAGGTGTTTATATCTCGGTCAGTCGTAAGAGTTCTGCATCGCTCCCAGGAAATTTGGTACGTTTACGCTGTATCCATACAAAGAACGCTATGTTCAGCCCCGTTTCTAGAACTTAAGCTGCGTACCGCTGCATAGGCGTCACACAGATCGGCCAGCCTAATCTTAGCTAAGTTACTCGTATGTGTAGTACAAGTACCTCAAATTTAGTTGGATCTCAGGATCACCAAACGCTCAGTTGTTTCACGGGTTTACTGAACTCGTTTATTCATAGTTCTTTGGCTAGTTTATGTAATGTGGCCTTCGCTGTCTTTCGATATGGTAAATGATACCCGAGTCATGGGTTAACTTAACCTCAAGTCCGTATATCGCCTGAAAGCGAGGTCTTGCTCCGGTTGCCAAGGTTACCACAGAGCCGTGTACAGTCAGTTGAAAATCTTTGCGTCATTCAGTAGCACTGATTGCGCTCCTTGCGTCATTCGTCGCAAGTTTAATGACACGTGTTCAGAAATTTTCCGAAGTTACTTCATATGCTATTTCCAATTTGGTCATATCCTAAATTTGTGATTTTAAGAATTAAAAGGATAAAGTTGTCCTTGAGCTTAAACATCACAAGATCATGACATGAGAAGAAGTGGAAACAAAGATTCACGCTCCGACCGTTGTACCCCCAAACACAGATCACTAATTGTCCATTGACTGGGATGCTGAATGTTCCGTGAATTCGATTCGGACGCGGAGGCGTTAAGAAAAACCTTTCCCCTACCACTACTAGACCATTTACTTTTCTTGAAGATATTTGTCCGCTGAAAGTCATCCGACGTTTCGAAGGAACACGTCGCGTCCATCTCCAGGTTCGAAGAACAAGCCAAGCAAGCTTCATGTTGGGTTATTGATTGGCTTATTCTTAAACCTTGAAGATGGAGGTGACATATTCCACCGAAGCGTCCGACGAATTTCGACGGACTTCACAGCATTGTATATTAGAAGACAAAACTGTTCATAAGTACCGCTCTGAGAGCCCCAGATCCCAGAATAGTTACCTTGCCCGAACCTAGTTAGCTTTGCCAGCTCAGAGAAATTTAGTACAGTTGTAATACAAAAACAAGCTTCTAGACTGCTGTGCTTTGTGTTACGTAAATTGAAGTGTGTTTTTCCGTGGCTGAGCAATATACTCATCTGGTACTGGGCGCTCTTTCCCCGGGGGTAAAGCAGCAGGAGTTCCAAGATGACCACTCACATCCGTCTAGTGCCGAGGTCAATAACGATGGAGCTTTACCTCCATTTTTCCCAAAATCTTCACATCATAGTGGTTAACACGTTAAGCATGGGAACAAATTTATATATTTTTCACATTCATTAAAATGTTTCGATTCGTACATTCTAAATAATTAAAAAAATTCTACTCTTCGAAAATATTAATTTTATTTCAGATACAACCTCGAAGATCTGCAATTTTAACACCTAAATTTGAGAAGATTGTTAGATTTTTAACTAAGCTGTATGTACCGCATAGACTGTAATGTCTAATTGTAGAATGTTTTGTGACTTCAGAATGAGACTTTGTACTAAAATAATCTGGTTACGGAAGGAGTCGATTGTGAGGACATGTGGACATTACATGACTCAAGACAGCATACAGTGTGGCACACACTTTTGAACAGACCTTCGGGTTTTATAAAAATCTCCTAGTTCCTTGACTGGGTGGGTTGTCTATGAAAGAACAAAAATTGTGGTCATCGATCTCGAGGAAACCTGAAACCAGGAATGACTGTGCTGCCGAAGTCCAACAGAAATTTAACCTACCGACCAACCGGATGAACGACTCTCAGCTCCTCAAGAAGAACTCTGTTACCAGGAGAATATGTTGCTGCGGGTTACCAATCAATTTTAAGACTGCGTGAAATTCCATTGTTTTTCTTTGTAAAATGTTCCCTTTGTTGATTTTTACTGCGCATCTAACTGTATCGTAGTAAAAGAGTTAAAATACTTCGTTAGTTAAACAGCACAGGCTGATATTTTTCCAGTGTGTTAAAAATGATAGTAAAAAGGAAAATTCAATTTCGTTTACACTCGTTCCACTTGAACTGAAAGCTGTCAAGTACAAAAATATTCGAGAATTAAATACGCCCTTTAATACTTAAAGCATATATGAAGGGTCTCGAAAACCTCTTTCGATAACTCTTTTCTCTTTAACATTGGTTCAAGGGCCGCTTTCTGAATTGATGTTGCGATGTAACATTAACAGTTGTAACGTTATTTTGTACATCACCTCAGCGTTTATTCAGCTAGAGCGCAGAATAAATTGAAGATTTTTTGTTTTTGTCCGAATAAAAATTTTGCCTAGCCTTTAATTACAGGGACAATATTTCCACTTGTATCAGTGACTAAAGACGAGGTTCGGATTGGTAATTGGATTTATCAAACATCTACAAGTGGAAACTACAATATATTATTACACTATTACTGATTTTCACACTACGAAGTACTCCACGCTAACCTCTTCAGTCTGCTTGCACCAGTCTTCACGGAATTATAACACAGAAATTATAAAACGCTCACTTAATCACACACTCCCAATATCACTGTGCTAAAGCATACGTAAAGTCTTCAAATCATACGTGAAATCTTCAGAGGCTGACTTCTTGTAAACTTCTGTACTCCTCGAGCTTAGTGCTTGCTTGCTGTACTCCTTGTTTGCGTCTAACTTCGCCGACAAACGGCGGTCGCTCGGTCGATATAGTTCGCATGCGGACTAAAGCCACGGAGTTTGTTTTTGTTTCTGTTGAAGAATCTCAGATTTTGTATGCAGCTAGATTTATTGGCCTACGGTGATTTAACATAAATAATATACGTGGAATTGCGGTCAGTATAAAGCACGAGATGTTCTGGAAGGAACTTGTGCCCTACGATACGGACTTCACAGAAAACTAAGCGTCGAACATTTCTTCAACTGTAGCGTGTGTATTCATTGCCGCGATAACTTTTTCACTGATCCGTTGCCTAGCAAAAGTAAAGGATACACTTATAGACACAGACTTATAGGAGGGATTTATGAAGTACGCCGTTGATATGATCTCAGGTGCAATGATATACATACCAAGATTTGTAAAGATTGGTTGAGCCATTCGAAAGTTGATAAAGGATGAAGCATAGACAGTATATATATGGCATAGGGCTAAGCCTACATTGATTTTTAGCCTTCATTCCTTATTATGAAAAAATGAGAGTAGGCTTATGCGACCTCCTCCTTTATATATACATATATGTGTGTGTGTGTGTGTGTTCCCTTATTTACCGTTTTAAGCTAAATAAGTCTTTAAGAAACTTCGTTTGTATATCATGGCACTTGGGCTCATCTCAATAGCTTACTTCATAAATACCTCCTATCAGGCTGTAGGTCTATATGTGTGTCCCCTATTGTTGATAAGCAACGGCTCGGTAAAACCATCACCGCGGCAACAAGAAATATGCGTCAATAGGAGAATTATTGGACGCATCTTTTCTACTTGAGCCGTGCCGGATCAAGGAAAGTAGGCAATTAGTTCTTCCCAGAACTTCTTGTTTAAAAATAACGAAAGTAGGCTAAAAATGGAGGTGTTAGAACTTTTCAACGAGTTTACAAGCTTATAATAAAGTTAATATTGGAATTTATTATGTACTCCTGATATGTACAGCATAAATACATACACACATACATACATATACACATGCATACACTACAAACACAGACATACACAGACACATTTGAAGGTGCAAGGTGTTTTTCGAAATTAAAATTTGCTCGCGTGATGTGCGGTATATATGCAGGTGGGGGTCACGAAATCCACTAGATATGGCAGCGCATAAGCTTCTGCTGTTTGTACGGCTTTCCTGTGTTGCTGCCACGGTCTGCAGAAGGACAGAGACAGGTATACGGCCTGGGGTTTCACCCCTAAAACTGGGCTTAACTTGGCCCACAAATTGATGTTGTTGGTTTTTGTAGCCATGAAAGTGAAATTAATCTTGGCGCGTGATGAGATTACGCCAGCGGTTGTCTCTTCACTCTCTCGCGACGCGACAACCTCTGCCATCTGCGTCATGACGAAAAAATGAGTGTTTCAAAGATCTCCAGTCACTCGCAAAGGCGGACGGAACTGCATTTCAAGAGGTTATGCAAGGAGCGCTAGTTAGTTTCGCGTAACTTGTATAAGAGGGATGTGTTGTTTCTTGTACAGCTGGACAGCGTCATTAACAGTCATGTATGCTTGGGTCTCTACCTACGTAAAAACCATCTATCTATCTGTC